GTGACATAATGCATTGTACAATATGAACTATATGAGCACTTATTTATTATGTATTTATCAAAGGACCTCTATAAGTTAGGTTTTGCAAGTTGCAAGAGACAAAGATAGAATACACATTGTTTGGGTCTTTGAGGTGCTCATAATACAGTACAGGTGTCCCTATTGAATTTCTGCATTTTTCCAACAGAATTTCCTAAAAAATATTTTTTATTCATTTATCCACTTGTCCACTTAACAACTGTCAGGTATCTTTATGGCACTAAGATCTCCTTGTTATTATCATTGTCATTTTTATTATTTTATACTTTACTAAGGTACTAAGCTTTTCTTGTTATTATCATCTTTTTATTATTTAATTAATTTTTTGTGTGGGTGTACTCTGTGCCAGAATTTTTTGGGGCTGTATAATTTACTTTTATGTCAAATTGTTGTTCTGTTATCTCAGCAAATGTGTCAGGCATTTTATATCGGGCAAGTGAGATTAAAGTTTTAAAGTTGATAGTGTTCGGGCGCAGTGGCTACTCCTGTGTAATTAGCACTTTGGCGAGGGCAAGTAGGATGGTTGGGTTGAGTCGGAGTTGGAGCCAGGCGACTAAATGGTTGACCTGTCTTACTATATGGAAATTAGGCGGGAATGTGGCCCTGCCTCAATCCAGTTTGGGGGTGGTAGGCGAATTGCTTGAATTGGATGAGCTGAGATCCCACTGCACTCCAGCCCGCTGGGGACGAGCGAGATCTTCTCAAAAAAAAAAAAAAAAAAAGAAAAAAAAGATTATGGGCTACAGAGAAATATAGACTCACAAATGAAAGTAGATTTGTATATGTTTCTAAAATTTATAGTAGAGAAGTGTTCTCATGAATGTATGTGTGATTAACCTTTTATAGATCAGATGATCCCATCAGAATCCAAACAAAAGGACAAAGAAGAAAATTCTTGGGATTTAGAGGTACTATGTATTATTAAAGTTTTTGTTTTAATATTAGTACTGCATGATATGAAAACACAAAATCAGAGACTTAGGCTTTATTTTTTCACCTCTGCGTATGTCCACCCCAAATTGTTTTTGATATTTTTCAGAGTACACTGAATAGAGAATCTATGTGCTAGGTAGATTACTGCTTCATAGTGAAATTCTGCTTATTTGTAGGATTAATTTAAGAAGCCAGTGTGGTATAGTGTAAAAAATAAGGCTTAGAAGTCACTAGAAGTTCACATGGGATCTGAAGTACGTTTGTCTAAAAACAAAAGAATGACACTGAGTCCAGTTATGGGCAAATATATGATTCTGTGGTATATTTAGATGTACAGAAGCTCTAACTGGCTTCATAGAGAGACAGTTTAAACAGCAGTATCGTAAAAGTTGGGGCCAGAAAAGTTAATGGCTGAGACTTGAACGTATTGACGTATCTTTATTGTTCAGTATAGAGCTGAGGGAACATTTCAGGAGAAAGAAAAGTCTGAGGAATAGGAAACCTTGTGGGACTATAATAACAAGAGTATTGGTTGAGTTTTCTTTTAAAAATATAAATTATTTTCACAAATAGAACTCCTTGAGGTCCTCTGTGGCAGTCAAGCTGCCTCAGGTTGAGTGTCAAATAATAGTGATGTATTTTAAGGTCACAACTATGGAAAGACATAGAAAGGATCTGACCTCTTACAAACAAGCAGCTGCTGCCTGGTGGTAACAGCAAAGGGTGGAAGTGAATAGACAGGTAGATTTTATCTGATTTGTCATGAGACAAAAAGACTTTAATATTGTTTGCTTTGATTTAGACATGACATAATTATTTTTCTTACTGCATTACATTCTATTCAAGCTTTTGTTGCTGTTGCTTTTGGTGTTTTAGACATGAAGTCCTTGCCCATGCCTATGTCCTGAATGGTATTACCTAGGTTTTCTTCTAGGGTTTTTATGGTATCACCACTCCTACGTCAGCAATAGGTTGAAGTTCTGGCTAGGCAATCAGCAAGAGAAAGAAATCAAGAAGTAATTCAGTTAGGAAAAAAAAGAGCAAATTGTCCTCTTGCAATGACATATTATATTAGAAAACCCCATTGTTTTCCAGCCAAAAATCCCTAAGCCTGAAATAGCAACTTCCAAGAAATCTCAGGAATACAAAAGATGTCAAAAATCCAACATATATACACCAGACAACAGACAAACAGAGACCAAAACGCAGGAAGGCTTCCCCCAATTGCTTCAAAGCAGAAAAAATACCTAGGAACCAACTTACAAGGAAGTAAAGGACCGTCAAGAGAAACCAACCACTGCTCATGAAATAAAAAGGAACAGCAAAACAAAACGGCAAGAACAACACGCCAGAAGGCAAATCATATTGTGGAAATCCAAACTGCCCAAAGGAATTTAAGATCAATCCATCCCCCATCAAGCACCAAATGAACTGCTCCACAAAACTGGAAAAAAACTCTTTAAAGCTTCCCCAGAACCAAAAAAGCCGCATTGCCAAGAACCAACCAAGTCAACAAGAACAAACCTCACATCACTGCACCTGACTTCAAACATATCAAGCACAGTCAACCAAAACATTACGGTACCAAAACAGAAGATAAGACCCAAATGAACAGAACATTCATCCAGAAAATAATACCACACATCCAGCACAGATCGATCTCCGTAAACCGGAGAAAAACAACAAATGGCGAAAGGATTCCCTATTTAATAATGGGCCGGAAAATGGGCAGCCATAAGTAAAGCGAAAACGGGAGCGCTTTCCTTACCCTTTATACATAAATAATTCAAGCGAATAACGACTTAAAATCTACGACCTAA